ATTAAAAAATTTGGAAATCACACTATTTTAGCATTTACTCCAAAGGAGATTTCTAGTGCCTTCTACCCATTTTTGAGGTTTGTTTTTTTTTAAACTGGGTTATAGACGTGCTTATATATATTGATTAGAAATTCTTTATTAGATATGATGTGTGTATCCTTCTTTTCTCCCAGTCTGTGACTTATCCATTGTGTCCAGAGAGCATTCTGTTAATGATAGGTTCAATCAGGTAGTGGAAGTGTTTTGAAATTCTTTGAGGAGTTTGAGAGCTACCCTTGTACCATCAGGCTTCCAAGGTAAAGGTCCTTCAATTATTTGTAATAAAGATAAGGGAGAGTAAGAATAGATGAATAAATACAAATGGCTATTATATAGTTTAGTATCACAGTGGACTTTTTTGTAATGTTACATTTTGATAGATAACACTAAACATACCAAACATTTTGAGACTGAGTGAATAGCAAATAGCAAATGTAAAAAGATCTTATGTATATATTCTTATCTTCACAGAAGTAATATTTATATTGAAACTTACTTGACAAGATTTGACTCATAATGAGTCTTTTTATTAAAAATTAGACTCTATGCAGTAACTACTAAGTTATGGGAAATGAAAGTCATATAGATTGATGGCGATGGCTCACTTAATCTTTGCTAGTAATACCCAGTATTCTGTAAGTAAGAAAAACACAAGAATTTTTGTGGCCCAGTTCTTTTCACTTCTGGTTTCCCTAGTTCTGTCAGGGACCTTCGATGAAGTTGGGCTGTAGCTCATCTGAGAAAATTACAGCTAATTACATTTATGCTATGTTCTCTGGAAACTTCTGATGAAAAATAATTGTTTTAACTTTTATGAATGGTATGTAAATTTCATTTTTAATGTATTACATTTTAAATTTCACTTTCTCTCTTCTAGGTTATGTTTAAACTCAACTGAATTCCACCTTCCTGGATGACTAAGAACAAACATTTACCATGTAAATCAAAAACTGGTGAAGACTATAATCCTATGTATTTAAAAGAGTTGACCATGACAACATTTTATAGATTTATGTGCTACATACTAAACTGGTGTGTAGATTACAAACACCTGTTTATGGTATGTCCAGTGGTGGTGTCATTTACCTAAAGACTCAGTAGGCCAGAGTCAGTATAAGTAGATCCCTCAGTAGCCCACTGTCTAACTTCTTACTTTTATGTTTCCAGTGATGTTGAGGTTGAAATTTCTCCTGCAAAGCCATAGATCATAAACATTACCATAGGTAAAAATTAAACTGTTTTTATAGGTCTTATACTAGCATACTAGAGTGTTTATTTTCATACTCTCAAAACAGCAAATTCCAGAAATTTTAGTGGATGATATTACTACTGTTTTTATTTTAGCCTTTGAAAATACTATCATGCTAGTTCGTAAGTTTAACTTTTTCACCCAAGTTACAACGGCTAGGAAACCTGCTCTAGTTAAATTAAGAAGGGCTAACCAGATTATCACCGGAACATGTATTCTTTATCATATAACGACCTTTAGCAGTGGACATGTATAAAAGAAAATTCTAACTCTGAAATAAGTAGAAAGGTATCCTTACAACTGGAGATTTTATAATTACAAAGTTTAACTTAATGAAAACACAAATACAAAAATATTTTCAAACTTAACTAATCATAGTGAATAGACATGCAAAAAATTTCACTTTTTGAGGAAAGCAATTTTCTTCAACTTCTTTAGACTTCAAGATTCTTTAAGGGTAATTTGACCTTTTCACCAATCAAATCACATTGGCTGAGCTATCATCTGTAAAGTTGAAGAATTACGAGGCACAAACACAAAAATTTCTGCATTTATATAGCAGCTCCTTAAGGTGTAAAATGGGACTTGGGTATTCTAACAGGCTGTACTTTGACAACTGGGGCAAAATAAGTTAATAGTGCATCCCTCAGAGCCTTTCTGTACTCGATTAAATGGTAAACTTCATCTTGGACTTAACATCTTTAAACAGGTAAGTGTGTGTTGGGGTCATAAACTGGGTAAAAATCTATCATCCTACTATTTGAAACGACAAGATATATAACTGCTATTACAAGATTTAAAGTCCTCCAGTCAGGCTCTTTACACATAGTCCCTTACACTCAAGTTCTCATAAACACAAGCTATGTATACAAAGTCCCTTCCATTCAAGTTCTACTGATGCTTCATCTACAAAATTCAAAACTCTGTTCTCCTATTCTGTGCATAACTTACTCTGAAATGTCACCAAATGACATTTTAAAGCCAGTGAAATAGCATGATAAAAGTACTGATTTTATGCAGACAAAAAATATGTACGATGTCATTTAGTGATGTGTTGAGTTGGAGTTTTGACAAAATACACAATTTAAAATCGAGCCAATGCTCCTTAAAAGACCTTGATTATTATGTGACTATTTCTGAGTGTATCAACCTATATGACAAATGGGGGGGGGTGAAGATTAAAAAGAAGGCAATTATTTTAACACTGAATCAACTGGTTAGAATAAAACCTATATAAGCAAATGTAACCAGATTGCATATTTCTTCAGAAGTTGGAAGTTACATGTTTTCTTAGTAAAACTATGCATCTGTTGAGTCAAAGAAAAAAAGGGTAAACAAAAATATTTTTTTATTTTAACATTGTGAACTTATGCTACCCTCTCTCCTAACAACACAATCTCTGACCAAGTTTTAACTGAGAAATTACTCCCTAAGAAGCAAATCCAGAATTCCATCACACTTCATAGCAAAGAATTACTAGTAGAGTTTGATAGAAAAATTCTTTAATCAAAACAAGTTTACAAGTCAACATGTGGCTTAACTAGAATAAATCTGCCCAAATTTAAATTGTTAGGGACCAAACGGATAATGATGGGTTTAATATAAGAGCAAGAGTTCCCTCAAAATAGTAAGTCCTAGTTTCATTGGAAAACCTCACAAAAGCAGAACTCCAATTATTGAAATAAAAAAATTTTCATCTATAGATGAAATTATCCAAAAGGTCAAACCTACAGTGCATCTCACATGCAAACACTGGTATTAAGCCTTTCCCCCATATTCATAGCTTCAAAACATGAGAAGTCTTTTAGTGAAAACGCCAACTGACCTAATATTCAAAATACCGTTTAATTACTTAAAATGTGTATTGATCTTGGTTCACCCTGATTTAGTCCATATACAGACTATCTACATTGTCTACTGCCTCAGAGTAATTGCTTCCACTTCTTTACAATCCTGTCACATGTATGATATAAAATGTAAGTTCCCTTCTGATATAACCTAGTTTCTTCCTTACATAGTATTTACTTTTATTTATTGTATAAGCATCATGGATTATTCTTCCCCAATTAAAAAAATACTTGTGATTTCCTTAATAAGTGTGACTTAAAAATTTTCAGAAACTCGAGACATTTCTCAAAAATAACATTTTCTTTTAGTTTTCAGTTTTAGCTACTACTCCCTGCTGCCTGTAAAGAATCTTACATGGTTGAACCCAAAAGCCAGATTCATTACTACATATATCCCATTCTAAGCTCTGCTTTAGTCATGTGATGTTTACTGAATTCCCTGCCACAAAACTAAATTAATTTCAAATGTTAACATAAATTTTGTACCTCAGCATTATCAGTTCAGTATCGGATATCTAGTTGTCATATAAAAAGGCATACACACCACACATTGTTACAAAGCAGCAGGAAAATGTAACACAATGTAGACTGATTAAAATTAACTTTTGATAAAAGGAGTGAGTACTTGTATAGAAGTAACATTTTATCTACCAAAAAATGCATAACTTCTACAAAACCCACAAACAGTGAAAAGACAGTCTGGTAAACCCAAGATTTGTAAAAAATGCACAAAACCCACGGTATCTGGGGAAAGAGGAAGGTGTATACAAGTAGCCGTTTTTAAAATTTAACTTTTCTACTACCAATTACACATTAACACACTTACACACACACACACAAAAATTGAAAATATGCTACAACCAATGTCTGGAAAAGCTGTTTAACATTTCCTAAATGGATTTTCCCCACATTTATTGTATAATGTAGCTGTTAATACTGCACAAGTACAATTAGCAATGTTTAATTACTTTTAAACAAAGATAAAAGAATTTTTCTCCCTCAAAACAAGTTTTAAACATCGAAACCTATGCTTATAAAAATTTAAAACTTTCAGCTGTCTATTTCAAATGAAAACCATTACAAACTTCTCAAATGTTCTTTACATTCCAGGTATGTCAACCTAGATATCTAGTGTGGAATCCTTCAGAGAGATTTCAGTCTCTTTCTCTTCATTAGAGGGCCTAAAGGAAAAGGGGAAAGAAAGGTGTGACAACTAGGATTAGGTATTTTTTTCCCCGGGAGGAAAAAAAACTGCATTATGTTTTTAAAATCAAGATTTTCTCAATGTTTGCTCAGTATTTTTCATTCAAAATTTTTATCATTCCTAGTATTTTCTCCCCAAAGTAATAAACAGATCAAGAGAAATTATTCAGGAAACATCATGAGCCAGGTCCTTTGTATCAGATGTAAATGAATTCCCAAAGTTTGGTCTTAAGGAGTTCAAAGGAACATCAGTACATTAAAAATTGGATTCTTAATACCTCACTCTGCCCTTCTAGAGTGGCAAGTCAGTTGTAATTGCATTTTTTGCCCTTCTGACTGGCATTTAGCTTCCTGAATTCAAGAACTTACTAATGAAAATAAAATGCCCTACAGATAACCTGGGTCTGTGAACACAATGAAACATGTCCTTACTTTTTCTTACTGCTGGCCTCATGGTTGTCTTTGCTTTCTTCATTGCTATCCCCATTATGTTGTGGTTGATTGCTGTCTTGACCATCAGATCCTCCATTTAGAGTCTTTGAAACTTCAGAAAGATTCAAGAAAGAAAACTGTTAACAGAGTTTCTAATACTTTAAAATGTTCTCTAAAGATAACAAAAACGCATGATATAAAATTTCTAATAGTGTACTGAAGTTACTCATTTGAATACTTCATTTATAATAAACACCATACTCACTCTTCAGTAGCTGAGACAAAGTAAACAAGTATGTGAACAGATGCCACAAGTGAATTATTCTAACAGGAAAAGATCGTAGTAGTAGCTTATTTATCACTATTTTAGAATGGAAAGTTTCAAATACTCAGAGTGGGGCAACTAGTTACTACAACAATTGAGTTTTAACTATATAACAGGTTATACATATTCTAGTTATGGTTGAAATAGCCTATTTGTAATTTGCATCAAAATAATCTAGAAGAGTCAGAGAATTTGATGGGGTTATAAAGCTCAAGCTGGGTGAAGGAGATGTGAGTTCATTTCATTCCACTTTTATATAGGTCACAAAATGTTCCTAATTTTAATGAACAGCACCTACTAAATAGTATTTTATTAACAAACCTGAATAGGCATTGAGACTACATATCAAAGCCACTTCAAATACTATCACATACCTGTTTGTTCCTTTTCTAGCTTTTTGTTTGGCCCTTTCTTCCCTTGATCTTTGGTTTTATTTGCTTCCTCATGTTGTCTTTGTTCGGCAAGAGACTTATTCAGCACTTGCGTGATCACAGAATCTCCTTCACCAACCAAAAACATGTTCTTAAATTTGTTATACAACATTGTAGACTTTTCCATGATAACCTGACTGACTTTGAATCGCCGTATCTGAGAAAACAAAATATATAATTTTAAATGTTTTCCTAATTTTTAAATGTTAAATTGAATGAAGTAGTTGGTAATGGGGCTAATCGTTTAATCTTTATGACTCACGGGCACTTACTTTTTTCAGTGTTGTAATCATCTCTGTGTGTTTCTGAGCTTGTTGCATTGTGACCTGAAGTGAAGCAAGTTCATCCAAGGCCTCAATACATCTGTTCACATCCTTCATGACAAAACAGTAATTTTGCAACTGTTAATCACTGGGTATAAATCTATAATCTGTTTTTACAGGTTACTTTTTAAATCTTAAAAACTCAGTACAAACCAACCAGTAATTCCTTTTACCTTACATTTATACATACTTATAAATCGTGAGGAAACAAAATAAGAAGCTGTAAGATACTATATTTTTAAATGGTATGAACACTTACAAGGTTATCAATTTTGAGTGAATTTTTAATTTCAGCATGTATCCTTTGAAGTCGAGAATCCATTGATGTTTCTACAAATTAAAATGTGAAACACAGTAAATAGTTTTTCCAAGACCAGTATTTCTCTATAACCTAGTAAGATTTGGTAAAATTTTTAAATGTTTAAGAAACCTGCCTCTATCACGGTTATCTGCCTTTTAAGTATTTTCTTTAGAAAAGCAACATTCATCAATTAAATATGACTGTCTAGGTGCATGTTTCTAAAATGGACTGTATACAATATTAACTTCTCTATTACAACCTTTATGTCCAACTTTATATAGGTAACCAAAACCAGAACATTGCTATGACCAGATTTGTCACATATAGAAAGCATGATGCTTTTGACAATTTAAAAAATTTGACTTCTGATAATGAGCTTTAAATTTAATTCACTAGCTTATACTTGAAATGCAGTGTATACAGAATTCATTAGAGATTTGAAAGCACATTTGTAGGCTTTAACAGATTAATGTGAAAAGCTACATAGGAGAAATTGTGTACAACCTCCTTTTTATGTATAGTTTTATGTATCTTATAAAGTGAAATAACTAACCTCGCTTCTTCTCCACTTTCTTAACTTCTGGCTTCTTTCCTTCATCTTTATTCTGCCTATCAAATGTTAACACAAATATTTCAAAACATTGGAACTTTGTGACAACTACTAAATGTCCATAATCCTTTATATGTAAAAATCAATGTTTTTCTTAAAATAGTCAGTAGCCTACATCACAAAGAATTGACTAATTCTTAGGACTCTGTAATGCCACAGCATTATTAAGTTATAAATAAATCCTCAAGACATGTAAAAATAAGCATGCTAAAATAAACCATCTTACTTTTTCAGTGGCACCACAGAACAATTTTAAAAGCTTTCATGGAGTTTTTAAAGACCAACCTCAGGTTCAGTGGACAAAAGAGGCCCTAGTGGGAAAAGGATGCCTAAAAATGTTTGTGGGCTCTACATCACAAGTACAAAAAAGTAGCATGTCAAGAGACCACTTGATTGTTCCCCACACATTTCCACTGGGTAAATAATTTGAGGGATTTGTAGTTAATTCAAGGTTAAATCAACTTTGAAGATAAAACTATCTAAGATGGAATTATTTTTGCCAATATATCAACTTGAATAACATTCACTAACATTTACATATACCATTTCACAAATGAAAGGTACCATTTTACTGTAAACCACCAAAATAACTATTTAAAAATGAATTTTTAACAATTTCTAGCACATTGGCTTGGAGTTCAGTCCCTAATGCAAACCAATCAAAATAGACAAGAACAAAAAAATATCTAAAAATCAGGTTTTTTTAAAAAAACTTTATTTTAAAATTTTGGTTACAGTTTCATTTATGTTTTCTTAACAAGTCTACTGTTTAATCTCTCAGGATTAAAAAAACAATTATTAAATTCTAAAGAATTAAACAACAAAGGAATGCCAAGGGAAGGGCACAACTGCCCCAATCTCTGGGGTATAATAGCTATTCCAGTTTAACACCTAGCTTCAGAACAAAATGAATTAATATTTTCTAAATGAAATAATGTACAACCACCATCTTCATCTGAGCTTATTATAACTTTTAAACACAAAGCTTCATTGTAAGCTTGGTAAAAAAACTTTTAACAGGAATGTTGGCTGACCTTAATATGTAGTGTGTACCTTACAGGAAATGTTTTTTAACAATCATAACACAGTAATAATGCCATTAGTGAAGTCCTCAATTTAGAATCTGGAACATTCTTCCATCAAAGGGGGGGAAGGGGGAATTCAGTCCAATGAGTCTGTCTCGAGATCTTCATCTCTGGTTTGCTCCACTTGTATTCTCTTTTCAGAAACTGGATTAATGCTTTGAGCCCAAAATGAGATATATTTTTTATTACTGTAGATTACATGTTGTTTGGCTGGGAATACAATACAATAAACTTTATTTTGCATAATGCATTTCACACAAGCTGCATCTGAAATGCTTTACAGAGCAAAACTGTCCAAGTACAAAGTTTTGTAATAACAGGAGAAGGAAAGAAAACACAAATATTAGAATTTGAGAAAGTTACATTCGGAGGACATTCAAAAAGAAATCGAACACATAAAGATAACTTTGAGATAATGAAGAAGGGGTGGGCTAGATTTACTAACCAACAACTACCTTTATAACTTAATTTGGGGAGCACAATGAAGTTAAAAACAATAGTCCAACAACTTCTGAAAGGATAGAAAAGGATAGGTAACAAAAAATATTTACAGATAACCAGTTAATAGGGAGCATAACTTCTGAGTTATAGATCAATTTTTAAATTACTCCCTCAAGCAGATTAAACTGCTTATATATCCTCCAAACTAAGAAAGCAGATAATCAATGCTATTCTCTAAGGACTGTAAGCTTACAAATGTAACAAGAAAAATACAAAATTATTTCAGAAACTTAAAAATTTCATTCTGAGTGAATGAGAGCATGTTTTAGAAAAATCACCTCACTAAAACAACAGTTCAGTCAGAATAATGCAAGACTTCACAAAGAAACTCTTTTCTCAGAAAAAAACTCAGAAATGACAGCTTTAAGATTATTAGGCAAACAAAAAGTAAAATACATGAAGCCTAATCATCATCATTGCTATTTTCTTCTAATAAATTTAAAGAATAAAATTAAAGGGAAAACAAATTCCTTAAAGTAATACTGTCAAGTATGGAAACCTAAGGAGTAGGTTCTAAATACGACTTATACAAATCCTGTCAGACTTTAGATTAATTTTTAACTGGCTTGTTGGGTTTCCAACTGTGCTTTTGTATTTCTGCTGGTTTGGTGGGGTGGGAGGCCTGCTGGTGGTATGACAAAAATTTTTTGCTTTCTTTTCCACCCATACATTATCATCACTATTTACTATACAAATAAAAAAGTACATTTTTTGCAAAGTCACAAACAGGTAAATTCTATCAGTACTTTTCAGTTTAAATTAAAAATAATTTCAGAGGGTGACTACCTCTGAATTTCATCTTTTAACTGAAATAAAAATGAAGCCTGAAACATGGCTACCATATACTGAAAGTTCTAACACATGGGAAAAGTTACTTCTTTAAAATGATCCATAATGTCTGGAAAATGAGATTCTATTGTTTAAAATTTCATGCTAGCTTAAAAAAGAAACCAAATTTAGAATAAAAAAATACTTACTGCTCAGTTTCCATTTGTTCCTCTTGCTTGCGTTTTCTATCTGCTGCTTCTTTCTCATGTTGTCCTTTCAGCATATTTCTTCTATGAGCAGTCTGAAAGTTTCTTCCACCTTTTCTCTTCTGTTTTGAGAAAGAATTTAGTTAACTTTAAAGTCAGTGACTATGACTACCATCTTGGGAGGAAAAAGAGCAACTATCAGTTTTCTTAAGAGACAAATACTAATTATTAAAAAATCTTAAGATGCACGTCATTGCTATATAAATTTACTTTCCCCCTTGATTTGGGGAATTATCTCTTTCTTGCACTCAAGGTGTGCTGTCCTTTGGTTAAGATGAAATGGCAGGTAATTTTGCCTCAGACAATGGATACCACCTCACACCAATGAGAGTGGCACATCTTAAAACAACTAGCAACAACAAATGTTGGTGAGGATGTGGAGAAAAAGGAACTCTCCTGCACTGCTGGTGGGAATGCAAACTAGTACAACCACTAAGGAAAACTGGAGGTTCTCAAACTGGTAAACATGGAGCTTCCATATGACCCACCAATCCCACTTCTAGGTATCTACCCAAAAGACAACACTGATTCAAAATACCTGCACCCCCTTGTTTATTGCTGCTTTATTTACAACTGGAAAGACATGGAAACAACCCAAATGCCCCAAAGTGGATGACTGGATTAAAAAGATGTAGTACATATTACACAATGGAGTATTACTCAGCAACCAAAAATAAATACATGTCTTTTGCAGCAACATGGATGGAGCTGGGAAAGATCATACTTAGTGAAATAAGCCAGAAAGAAAAAAGAAAAATACCAGATGGTTTCACTCATAGCAGGAGGATAACGGACCAGGGGAGAAAATAATAATAATAATGAACAGCTATATGCCAGAGACATTTTATGGGGGTGGAGTCGAGAATGGGATCAATAACAATGGGGGGAGGGAAATGTACTGGACTATGGTGATGGCACATGGGTGATTTGGTTTTGGGGAGCCCACAGGGATTACAACTGGGATGGAAAAAGGCACAAAATGATGTAAAAATAAACTAAAAATAAACTGCCTCTCAGTAAGTCTTAATAAATCAGGTACAAACAAAAGAGCTACACATTTCTACATATACTGCATGCAAAATTCCCTAATGATTCTATATATACTGCATTTTAAATGTTATCAAGTATCTCCAAGGCTTCACGTAAAACTTGAGTTGAGAAAAAGATGCACATAGCTTTAATGAATTTTGAATTTTCAAACCGTAGTGTCCAAACAAGGTGTAACTGACAAAGACAGGTGCTAAACAGACCTGAAAAAAATGGTCAAGAATGTCTAAAATAAATAATTAAAAGCTGGGTATAAAGAGTTTTTTTTATAAACCAATCTCTTCAATGCTCACTACCTTTTCTAGATAGGTGGGGTTACTGGAAATGTACTATTTGACACCAAATATCCTTATCGTATGAAAAGATAAGTTTAGAAAATACAAGTTTCAAGTATGCCTTTTAACACAACTTATCTATTCAGCAAAATAAAATTTAACCTTTTTTTCTTAGATTTTTAAAATGGAATTAAAACTTTACTAGGTAAAAATTAGGAACTACATTAAGAAACTTTAAAACTAGAATTTACATACTCTACCTTTTCACCTTCTTGATCGTCTCCTTCTTCTTCAGAATCAGAGGTTGATGTAACCCCTGTTTTAGCTAAATTTTTCCTTTTTGATTCAACTTCTTTCTTCCCCTCTTTTTTGTCTGGCTCTTTCCTTGGCTTATCTTCTTCCTTCTGGCCCTCTTCATCCTTTTTAAGCTGCTTTTTAGGTTGTTTTTCCTCCTGCCCTTTTTTCTTACTTTTGTCTTCTTCAGTTACCCTAATTCAGAATACAACAGTGGAAAAGTGAGCTTTTATGTATCATTAATACTTGCCACTTAACCACATTCTCCCAGTCATTAGCTGAGTATTTTCTTCATTTAAAGACAAATTCCAGACATCTTTAATAAGATGCAAGTGTCTTTAGCATACAATTATAAATGGAAAAGAAGATCCTTGTTGTTTAAAAGATACAAAATTTGGCACTGGGTTAGAAAAATCACTTTCCCCTTTAGCTCCCAAATTTGTTTTAATGTTATTAATTCAGTGAAAACTTAAAGTATTAGCCTTGCAAACCAAGGCCCCATTCTTGACTCAGGATTAGCAGTGTATAAAGTTGGTTGAGAATCCTGAACTCATATTCTACATATTTAAAAGAAAAAAATGTTTAAAGGACAGGCTGGGAAAAGTAGAATTGCACAGAAGTTATTTTAGAATTCAAATAAATTTTCTTTGCAAGGTCAAAGACACCCAATTTAAGACATATAATGGTAAACTATATGCCCGATTAAACATATTATCAAACAGTACTGAACTCACTAGCACCTAAGCATTTGCATCACCACTAGATTTCACAGACATTACTAAAATAAGACAAACTACTTAAATTACTCAATTCTAATATTACCATTCGGTAATATTTATGGCTAACTTGTATAGCAGAAATAGGTCATGTGATAGATAATAGGCTATATACAGGAAATTTAAATGATGCCAATGATAACCTCAATTACTTTTATGGTATTTATGTATTTATTCAACTAAAGCAATCCTATAAAATAATATGTCTTGAAGCTTGGATGAGTTACTCAGATCATCTAGTCTAATTCACTCTATTTGACAAATGAGAAAACAGTTCATTTAGCCTAATATCTCAAGTTACAAAGTCAACCAGTTTCCTAGACAACTACTTCCTTGAACACTTACATTAAGCCGAAAAGATGAATTTATCTACTCAGAAACTTTTGTCTCTTAGTCATCATTGGGCATATTTATTTTCAAATCATCCTTTACTTTTAATTAATAGAAAACAAAGCAAGTATGTAAAATCACTTAACTTTCTTCAATATCTCAAAAAAAAATTTTTTTGTTAATTTCAGCAATGGAAAGAATCAAGTATGAATAGCATTTTCAAGGCTCTTACAAGATATTAACCAATTACCACCCCCCACACATGTTACCACTTATAAAAGGAAGCAGTTATTAGAAATATATATACCTTTTACCCAGCCAATCTGTCTCTCGCAATGTGTTCTAATCAATATACTTGTGTATGTACATAAGACATGGTAATGCTTTAAGTGATAATTCCACACACACCAGGATAGATATTTATAAAGTTATATTTTTAGACAGATTTTTTTAACAAAGTGTTTTAAGATTTTAGCAAGTGGGATTTTCAAGAGTTTTTGCACAATATTGAACACAGAATTTCCATATAGATAACTAGCACTGCTTGCTACAAATTAAATCTATTTCCAGGTAGTGGTCATCCCCACCTCTTCCACAAAAAAGTCTTACCCACAGTGACAAATTCCTTTTTTAATAGATCATGATACAGTAAAAATCATTCAAAATTTCTATAGTTGTTTAATATAATAACATCTGCAAAAATGAATGCAAACCCCAAGTATCTCAGTGCCTTAAACTCAAACACTTCTTACTTGATATGAAGACTGCCAGTTTTAACAGTTCCTCCAGGCTTTACTCTACTGCTCTGTCATTTTAAGATCCATGAAGAAGTTGCTAGTAACAACTTCTCATGGTAGAGAGCTTCAAAAGAGCTTATGCAGTCAGTTCTGTACTCCACTGAGTTTGTGCTTAGATTTACAGTCAAAAGTAATCATTAACATTAATGCCCAGCCTTTACATAACATGAAAAGACAAAAATTTAAGCTACTGCTATTTTAAGGTTTCTATCACCCTGTAACAAGATTACTAATAAAGAAATTGATACCATTAAGCTACCTTGGATCCTTCAGATGGCAAATGGTTTTAGAGAAAAGACAAAAGAGTGGTTTTCTCAGAAAAACCTGTAAACTCAAAGTGCCCAAAATTAAGTATAAAAACACAGGCATATTAGAGAAAATCTTATGAGACCAATACAACTTAAGCTGACTAGAATGAAACACAGATATAGACACTTAACAGAAAGTATTATTACCAAAAGCCACATCAACCTCCATTAAGATAAGTGATGAAGACTTGAAAAGGAAGCTTGGGCCCCAACTCCTTACAATGAAAAGCAGATTGAGAAATCTGCTCAGCTGAAAAGAAGGGTATTACTTCTCAACAACAGTTTCAGGAGCAAATAAGGATAATACTGAAAAAGACTGAAAAACTGGGGCTTAAAACATTCTTTACATCTGGAACAGGGGATTCTCACAATATTTTCCCAGAATTACTATCAGTGACTGCTGCGGTGACTCTTAACATTCTCTTTTCCAAATGGGAGCATTAATATGACCTCCTACCCCTTGGTTGTGTGTGTACTATAAAAAGGAAAGCAAAACAGAACTTATGTATGGTGTTCCCAAATTTCTAGATCAAGGCCTTATGTTGATCATGAAATCCTAGATTATTGTAAATGGGGGAGAAGGGGGGAAAATCTTTGGGATGGAATGAGCGATATTTGGTTATTTAGAAAAATAAAAATTCCTATGTCTGTACCTAATTTTTTTACTTCACTACAGCAGTTAAAAACCGTGTTGTAAATCTATGTCACTGATTTTTAAGAAAATTTTAACAACTAGCTTGGTGGTTAAGATAAAGTTCTTTAAACAGTATTTTGGATGAAAAGTGCCAACTGTAAATGTTCTAATGTTCTGCAAGTAAACATCCTACAAAAACATCGTATTCAAGCTACTATAAATACATTTGTAATACTTGAATCCTCTCTATAAAATCTTAAAACGTAATAGCTACAGTAAGTTGCCCTTTTTTTGTTTAAATATACATTTCCTCAATTGAGATTTCCACCCAGAATAGTGAACAAATCCAAGATAACATATGTGGAACGGTGGGAGGAAAAAAAAAAACGGATTATTTTGTTGACAATTATGTAGTCACTAAAAGGTACTTTAAAACTTGAACTATAGGCCTTCCTGGTGTCCAGGATAGTAGACAGTGCTATCAAGCTATCCCCAGCCAGAGAGAGCGCTGACCCACATGGTGTAGCAGCAGACCTCACCTGTCTTGCCTGGTGCTCCTCTAAGCAGTGTATGTCAGCAGATCTGCCTACTCTGCTCCCCACTCTCTGGTGAATCCTTTCACCTACCCCTCCATCCCCTTAACACCTGTGGTCTACAACCCAGTTCTTGTATGCCTGAATAAATCTTAAAAAAAAAAAATTAAATTATAAAAATGATTTTAGTATTACATGAAAATAAAATTTCTCTGGAAAAGCTAAGAGATTTGTAGAAATTATTTCAAAAATACCTTTAAACAAATTTACCTGTTTTGTCTGATTTCCTTATTAGAGTTTATCTGCATTATCCAAGTATCTTTATATACTGATAAAATTGTTAGATTAACTGTGATCATCAGATTTGTCTTGATTTTCTATCATATTTTTTATTTTCAAATGTTTTTTTGCTTTCTCATCAGTCTTAGAAATATAAAATACTGTAGCAACAACAATAATATGTAAATAAAGCTGGTAAAAATGCAGAGATTCACTGCTTAAATAATTATACATTAAAAATAAACTCAGGGCCTCCCTGGTTGCCCAAGAGTTACATCTCAGTGCTTTCACTAAGTGTGATGTCTGGCTAGGGAGCTAAACCACATGGTGCAGCAGACCTCTCCTATCTCACCCGCTGTTCCCCTTAGTAGTGTATTTCAGTAAATCTGCCTGTTCTGCTCCCTACTCTGTCTCTGATCCTCTTGACCCCTCCCACCATCACCTAGGGCCTACACCTCAGTTCTTACATGCAAAAATAAATTTTAAAATCTTTTAAAAAAATTTTTTAAATGAATAAACAAACTCACATGTCACTCTCTGAAGGACAGGGCTGTTTTACCATTTTGGGTCTGCCTCTTGGTTTTGGAATCTTGACTTCTGTAGCTAACATTCACAGAAGAACAAAAATACAAATTATAACCAACTTTCCCTTTAAAGAGGCAAATCTTACATATCAAGGTTACACATAAAGTATACTACCGACAGTATTATAAGTTGTAAAGATAGTTATCTCCTCCTCACCCCCTGGTTCCAATTAGCAACAGAAATTTTGAAGAGAAAAATCAACAATGCAATTGTCAATTTGTCCTGACTAAGAGCACTTAAAAGAGTATCCTCTGTTGTTTTAATAGCACTATCACAAAATTCAACTTTATAATATATAAAAACAGCATTTATAATCAATATGCATACATTTATTACACTATGGCATACATTCACATCTTTGAAAATCTATCAGAATTCATTGAATATTCTATTATGATTAAACTGATCCATTATATTAAATTTCAAAATAGAAAATATGTAAATAAATTCTCAGTTCTTTTTCTTTCCTGCCTATAACTTATGTGTCTTCTGTTAGAATTCGATTATGAAAGGAAGAAAGGCTGTATTTTGGTGAATTTTCCTTGTTTTACTTTCATACTAGAGGTAGATACCTCCACACTATTTGGCAGGAAAATAGGTACTACAAAAGATATTATACAGTATTAAGCCCTGAAAAATGCAATATAGTCTAAAATATTAACAGCCTTAGTCAAATGTTGGTTTGTTTGCTTTTGTTATAACTCCATTTAAATAAACTCATCATTCTTGGAATTTAAACCTCACAACCTTATATATAGAATGTATATGGATAAAAAAAATCCAAGCAATTATTTCATATTAAATACTTTATTAATTGTTAATCACCTATTCCAAAGTATCTGAGGCAGCAACACTTTACTAGATTAGAAGAGTAATCACAAATCAGAGTTTTAAACATTAATAATCCTACCTGCGGGTCGTCCTCTTTTAGGACTTGCTTTTAGATTAATAGATGATGTTGCTGTTGTCACTACTCCTGCCTCCTCTGTTTCTACTTGTTTTTCAGCCTGAATCACAAAGATTTAATTAACTTGTTTGGCAAATAAAAGGCATTCCAAGTGTATTCAATGGTAGAAATAAGCCAATCTGAGTTCAAGTATAAATTTAACTTCTATATAACCTTAGTATTCAACCGCCAATTTACCAGAGTAACATCCTCAAACTTAGCTTGTAATTCTGTTAAAAACTCAACAAAACATATAAAAAAATTTCTCAACCACACTGGTCATTTGTTAAAATAAAGCTATTATTCTTAATGTAAAACAGGGAACAAACTACAATGTAATTACCCTGTAAAAACTCATACACTGCTCAGATGTGCACTTTTATAATATATCTCTAAAATTACACATGTACTTATAAAGTCCAATACTCTGATATACTAGAAAAGGCCAGAAATTTAAATTGCTGATATTTCTTATTCCTTAAACTTTGAGACAGAGATTTACTGTCCTTCTCTAGGAGTTACTCTTATTTTTCTTTTTTCTTTTTAAAGATTTACTTAAACTGGGGTACAAGCCAGAGGTGCAGGGGCGGTGAGAGGATTCAGCAGAGACAGAGTGGGGAGCAGAACAGGAAGATCAATGAAGTACACTGCTGAGGGGAGCAGTGAGCAGGCCAGGAGAGGTCTACCATGCCATATGGATCACCTCCGGGGCAGGGACCGAACTTGCACTGAAACGACTGCGGCTCACTTGCAGTGCTGCATCCTAACCCACTGCGTCACCAGGGAGGGCCCTACTCTTTGTTTTTCATAAACAGGTATCTATTACAATATAGAATAAAGAATCCCAATTACATTTGAAAACTATAATGCCCCTGAAAGAGACAAACAGCTGACAAGTAATCAGTTTTACTCATTAAAACAAATGTTAGGAGCTTCCAATTAAAAAGGAAATTTAAACAAAACCAATACTAATTGAAAAAGGAAAAGAACAGTGTAGAGCACAGAGGGAAGGCTTCCTTCTGCCTTCTCACCCCCAATTGTTTAGAATTCAGCATTAGCTATATCACTGAATATGAACATATTCAAGCATCTCAGTAATAAAGAATATGCAAATATGACATAGCAATTCCACTTTGAACAATTTACCCATTTTTTGTTATTTGTTAAGCATACCTTTGCTTTTATAATTGGATCATCATAATCTATACTTTAAGTATTGTTAAAAGCCAATGAACTTATCCAAGATAAGCCTTGAATCTTCTCAAGGAAAAATACAAAAATTTTTCTGTCAACATTAGCTCAGGTTGTATTTTTAAAATTTTAAGAATTTACAAACCATCTGGTATCCTAATCTTGTCTCAGTATCTCTGGGTCAACTGTATCTGTCATTTTAGAAAGCTCCCCAGATGCCAGCAATTGAGAATCCAAAATTGTATGAAAGCTCTCCTCCTACTGAGGAGTAGATGGTAAAGGTTGTCTAAAATCTAGTTCAAACTGATGAACTCTTCAGTACAAAAAATTTTTCTCACTTAAACTTTGCAGTTTTAGAAGTAAATCAAGATGCTGTAAGATTTACAAGTAGAATAATCTTGAGGGGATATCAGTAGAAGATATTCATCAATATTCAATAGTTAATACAATAAATAAAATATATTAACATTAAGGGAAAAAATATGTTAACATTAGGGGGAAAAAATGTCATAAACATGTATTTTTGACCAAGCACAATAATATAAGTCAACAGCATTCCTAAATATAAATCAAGGAAAACAATCTAGAAAAAATTATGTCATACATACATATTTTTAAATATACATCTATTTAAGTATTTTAAAAGCAAAAATCTTACAGCAAATTTATATTTTATTTGATCTCACTAAGACTTCTAGTAACCCTTGGATTCACTTTCTACCCACTTATTATACTATTTTTCTAGTTCTATCCTCTTGTGATCTTACCTAAATTTTCCTAGGCCTGCATGCATTCTCATGCCTTCTACATTCTTGCTTTTTTGTAGCATCCCCACAAATCTCTATATTACTACTTAACTTTACTTACAGCACCTTGATTACTTACTAATATAACACTCTACTTTCCCTACTACACTGACAGCTGTTAGTACCACTAAAAAATTATTCAAAAACAAGCATTCATCTAGGCAACCTCAGTTGTCATCTCAAAGCCACCCATTAATACTTTACCCTGTCTTTTGTTAATGCCCTTCCTCTTCCCTCACTAGCAGCAATGTCCAATCCTTGATCCTGCCTTGTACCAAATACACAATTTTGCTTTGAAGTGGATGGAGACAGAAAAGACAGAAGTCAACAGAAAAGGAACTGCCTTCATTTCCACAGCTCCCTAGACACTAATAGCCTCACTTCATTTTTCAATATTAAAAAGCATGAAACATCCATTCCCTTTTCCCTGTTAAGTCAATTCCTTCAAGTATACTGCTCTCTCTCCTTAATAGAGCATAAGTATATTCTTATGTATGCAAATTATATTCTTTTCACCTCTTCAGTCTTGCTGGTTTTGCAAAGCAAGTACTCTGCATGCTTTTTTGCATTTTAAATATCCTGCCTTCACCACACATCCCTGTTGCAGCATTCTCTCTCCTTCCTTCAACATTTTCAAAAGCAGTGTAATTTGTATTAAACACTTTATTCTTCAACCCACTTCATCTCTCCTTATCAACTGGTCTTGAAAAGTGTCATAGAACTTAATTATCAAATATCTTACTGCATTCCCTCTATAGCAGAATACTACTTACCAGTCTCATTATTAAAATTCTCCCATGTTTAGCTTGGTATCCCCACTTAAACTTTCTCCCAGCAGTTCAATTATCAGTCACCATTTACAAAGCAACCTTTCATGTATATTTTATTTCCTCAGGACTCTGGTTTCTGCATTCTTCCCAGTGGTTCTCTCCCTTGACCACCGCCCGTTTAATCCTGTCTTTATATCAGCAACTGCAGCTTTAATTTTTGCCACTATGTGTAGGAATGGTATTTTTAGCCTACTTCCCATAGGCATCTCACTCCCTCTCCACTGTAACTCTGCTCCCAACCAACATCTCCTATATCCTTACTATCTAATCCTGTCATCCATGATTCCTTCCCACTCCACTCCCTTCAAACTCAATTTCAACCACTATCAACTTTATGTTTTAAAGTATTCTTATATCCTATCACTCATATATACTACTTAAAAAATTTAAAAAAAAAAAAAACTTGCTTTGATGTTCTTAACCTTCCTATCTCACCCTGTGTCCTTTAAAAGACCTTTCATAAGTCAGTTACCACATCACTAATATAATCTTCCATTTTTACTTTCTTACTTTATTATTTACTGTCATTCTAAATGAAAAAATTAAATTCAACAAGAAAAGAGACCTTAAATTCACTGCTTGTTACTGCCTGGACCATAAGTTAGTACTAAAATTCTGAATGTATTAGAAAACTTGTATTATTAGAAAATTTGTTACCTTTGTCCTGTTCCAATCATCACTAATTATACTGCATCACTAATTATATTTAAGAGCTATCAGAAATTTTTTTTTAAAGATTTATTTATTCACACAGAACTGGGGTACAGGCCAGAGATGCAGAGGGTGAGAGGCTTCACCAGAGACACAGTGGGGAGCAGAACAGGCAGATCGAGGAAGTACACTGCTGAGGGGAGCAGTGGGCGGGTCAGGAGAGGTCTGCCACGCCATGTGGATCTCCTCTGGGACAGGCGGGAATCGAACTCATGCAGAAGTGGCTTAAGCTTCTTAGTGCTGTGCTTTAACCCGCTGCACCACCAGGGAGGGTCAGCTATCAGAAATTTACAATGGTTTAAATGCTTCCTTAAGTTTAAGTTCTTCAGAATAATACTATGGTTTTTTTGCATTCTTGCCTCAAACTTTTTAACACTGAAATATTAATACCTGAAAAGCTTGAGATGAAATTTCTCTAGGCTTCTATATTCTCTAGTCTTCTATATACACTACTCAAATCGCTTCACATGCCCCTTCCTTCCTTCATCTGCCTAACACAATTCTGTGGTTAAAATCTTATAAAAGTTATCATAGGCCCTTACACACCTCCCATTAGGGTTATAAAAAAAAATCAGCCTATAGCTAACTTCCTCATGAGATATTCCAACTTGTAAGTTTTCTTTGTAGCTTTGGCAAATAATAATAGTCTGGAACATAAAAAGGTCAGAAAAAAAACATGAACAAATTTCATAAAGGATTAATTTAAAGCCTAAAATATACCAAGAAGTAACATACGTTTCACAGAACAATGTTGTGAAGTAAAATTAGTAAGAATGTAATAATGAACATGTAATAATGAACATTTACTATGAATATAATGTCCTCAAAGAAGAGGTTCTTGGAAACTGTCATTTAAACCAAATACATAATGAAAACAGATCTCTGAATATTTCTTACAATGATGGCTGGGATTATTTTTTTCTCATCAAAATGTTATAACTAAACATGATTCAAGGACCTATGATCTGCTATACCAGAATTTATTATGAATACTTAATACAGAAAATAAGGCAGAATTATTAAAAGAAATGAAAACTGGTATTTATCATTCAATATACCTAATTTTGATAAAGTAAACAGCATTATCTGCCTATATAAGACTTCAAACTTATACTGAGTTTAAGAAACTTAATGTAAAAGGCCAAGATTAAATTAAATTACATTATAAGGTTACTGCTACTCTCTTCCTCAATCCCTGTGGGTCAAACAGAAAAATTACCTTTCTCTTTCTCCCTCTTCTTGCAGCTTTTGGAGTGGTTATGTCAATTGCTTTAGTCAGATCCTAAAATAAAAATATGTATGAAATTGAAATATGCCAAGACTGATTTCAAAAATAAAAACTTTTTTTTAAAAAAGATTTATTTATTTATTGGGCCTCCCCAGTGGCACAAGAGGTTAACGCACAGGACTATGAAGTGATCCTTAGCCACTGCAGCATAAGTTCGATCCCTAGCCAGGAAGGAGACACACATGGCACAGGAGACCTCTCCTGGCTCAACTGCTGCTCCCCTCAGCAGTGTATTTCAATCTGCCTTTCTGCTCCCCACTCAGTCTTTGGTGAATCCTCTCACCCTGCACCTCTGGCCTATACCCCAGTTCTTGTATGCATAAATAAATATATAATTTTTTAAAAATATTTACTTATGCACAGAAGAACTGGGTAGTGTAGGCCAGGGATTTGGAGGGAGTGAGAGGATTCACCAGAGTAGGGAGCATAACAGGCAGATCAACTGAAATATATTGCTGAGGAGGTGCAGCAGGCAAGATAGGAGAGGTCTGCTGTGCCATGTAGCCAGCCAGAGACTGAGGATCAAATTCATGCTTCAGTAGTTGGTGACAGCGTGATAGCACTGTGTCTTTAATCCCTGTGCCCACAGAGAGGCCCCCCAAAAAGCCTTTTTAAACACAGATTTTGCAAACTTCACTGAAAAAATACTAGGGACAACTTGTTCTGTTTCTCTGACTTTTGAAATCATAAACATCAAAAAGTCTTAATATTGTTATTATAAATGACAGTTATTCTCACCTAAAAAAGTTCTTTCCTGTCAGGACAAAACAAAAAAGTGACTTCTGGTAGAAAACCAAGAAGTTGTAATACCTTTTCAATACAATCCATTCCACAATAAGCCTCTTTAAAAATATTCCCAACAACAAACAATTCAACTCCTCATATTTTGCACAGCAAAATAACTTTAAATAAAAATGTACATCCATCTTATGAAGATGCACATTTTTAACATGAAGTCTTAAATGTTTACTAATTCATTAATTAACTACATTAAAGATTACTTTCTACTTTGCTATGATTAATTCATTTTACCATTTCTTCCTTGCAACAATGAGGTTAGAATGCAAGTGAAATTAAACACACCTCGTTGCTGGCTTTTTCTTCATGGTCAGTATCATCCTTTGAAAGACTAGTTTCTTTTTCTTCAACTTCAACATCAGATGATGTATTTGACTGTTTAGTTGATGCCTATGAACAATCAAGTCTTAATTTAAAAAAATTAAGATTTTTATCCCAATTTATAAATTTTTAACTCATGAAAAATCAAAAGCTTACTTGCAAGAAACTTAGAAAAGTTAGTGATATCAATTCCCTTTGAACACATACAATTCTGAAATACTAAAACTATCAGTTTCTTTAGAGAAGTCTTAGAAGGGACTGCATATTCCTTTAATTGCATGCACATCCAGCAAGATTAAAACAGTGAGGCAGAAATGAAAGTACAATTATAGAGATACCATTCTGATGTTCTAACCAACAAATCTCCAATGATATACAATGAAAGCTGATTGAGAATACCACAGGTATACACTTTATTCAACTACTAAAATACTGTAGAGAGAAATTACATGTGTACTCTAAAACAAACAGTATTAGCAAGGGATATATGTCACAGTTATATACTATAGGCTCTGGTCTATTATCTCAAACTTAAGTTTATTTTAAATGCAGAGTCATGAAGCCCAAACTTAAGTGATTCTGATTTAACAAGTGCTGACTGCAAGTCCAGTAATCTTCAGTTTTTAAAGTATGGCCAGGTGATGGAAAATGTGTTCTAGGGGGTACCAGGACTTCATAATACCAACCTAAAGAATGAATAAGCAGAGGAAACACAGAATAGATAGCCAGAGGTGAAAGATAGCATTCTAATTCAAACTGTGCCCTTTTCTAGCTGTTTTCTTTAAGTCTATTTCCTCTTTTATGAAAAGGACAATGCTTTTTCTGGCTAACCTACAAAAGTATTAGTTACAACAAAAAAATGTAAAATATCCCCCAAATGACTTAGAGCACTATATAAAAATAAAATTTTACAGGTTAAGATGGCTGATTTTCTAGTTTGTTTTGTAAAAGTTCATCACTGATTTCCACAATAACCTCTGAATGTGCTACAGGGGATATCTCAGCTTGGAACAGAGTATATCAAACCAGTAAAAGCATTCATTTTGTTGAGCAAAGAAACTACTGAGTTTCATACACAACCTACTAAAAATTTCATTGTAAGATGGAAAATTTCAAGTACATATGGTAAAATCCACCTTGAGATAAAAGTAGGTAGATTAGGAACAGAGGATAGCATGACTGTGCTAGGCAATCTGGAAAATGAAAAAGACCATGAAGGACATATACATTAAGTGAAGTTACAAGATGTCAGTTTCAGATGTCAAATATAGTCCCTTAGATTTTTACTACATAGTCAAGGCAATAACGATGTGAACCATCCATCCATTCTTTATTCATTCAAGAAACATTGTGAATACCTTTTCTGTCCCTACATGTAACAGTGTCAGGCACAGATCATACAACTTCTTAGGCTGTAGCAGTTAGTACAGAAACAAATGTGATATGGTATGAGTACTACAACAAGTTTTGGGTGGAAATGACAGCACTTAAAATCATCTAATGCAACAATGAAAGACTGATATACTCCAGACAGAAAGCGTCTGAAGGCTCTCAAAGGAGAGCACAGATAAAGAACTTTTTAAAAACTATATAAGCTTAATAGAATGTTGCAGTTTGTTACTGTCTCCTTTTTAAGATTTATTTAAGTTTTTCCTAATTCTTAGTATTTTAAAGTATAATATAAACAAACAGATATGGACACAAAAAAAAGCAGAATAGAAAGTTTTAAAACTGCTTTTCTAGATGCCAAAAATATCAAGTATAATTTACATATTGCTATAAGTACATTTTTTCATTTCATTAAAACAGTAAGATTCACACTGTACAATTTTTGAACTTAGAAATTAAAACAAATAAAACACCTCATCTGCACCCTTCAAGTTATAAAACCTGGATTTAAATAACAGTACGATATGCTAAAAAAATCTCAATTAAAAGTCATTAAATGACTCCCAATTTTCTGAGATTTGTTAAACCCTGCCGGTAATACTTTCATCAGTTTATCTAACAGATATGAAGTCAATATTCAATCTCAAAAATAAGAATGACGTTCATAAGCTCTTAAACGTGTATTCTGCTATAGCAGCACAAGACTGAGTAAATACAAAATTTTATGTGATATGACTCACCTGTTGACTTGAAAATTTCACTTTTGGATTGTTATCTATCTCCCATAAACCTTCATTAAAGCCTTTTCGTTTATTTGGTTTGCCATACTTTTCTTTATTTTCAGAATAAGGAAATATATCCTTTGGACCTAAAAACGCACTAAAAAAACAGAAGGGCAAATATGAATGGAAAGTAGTATCAAAACATGTAAGTTATTTTACACAGAACTGAATGATGTAATAATCAAAATTTCTTTATCTAGAACACATTAAAAATCTTACATGAAATGGCACAAATACATGCAACTATACAGAATTAAAGTACTTTAATTTCAGTCACAAGCTCCTAGATCCAAAGCTCTTTTTAAAATATATGCAAGCTGTACAATAAATTTACTTAATGCCACTAAATTGTACACTTGCAAATGATTAAAAATATAAATTTGATGTGTATTTTACAACACACAGAAATGAAAGAGCTATGTAACATGTTTGCATTAATCAACACCATTCAAATGCATTCCAAATATAATCTCTTTTCAGAGTGATTTGATATATTATACAACTTATAAAATACTATCAATAAGACAAGACTACATTTTCATATCTGTACATTCATATTTATAAAATAAAATGTGTTTTAAGAATTTGACTTTATTCAATGAAGAAATCAGATGTTGTAACTGGTTACTTGTGTGTGTCTGTGTGTGGTAGAGCAGTGGGAGACAGAGCAAGAATGAATGCCTCTGTAGTCACTAAGGCAGGTTTCCTGTGGGCCTATCGTCACACCCTTTTTGTCAACCAGTAAATACATAACCTATTTTTGCATTGTTAAAAGACATTTTATTTTATTGGTAGTTCATTAACATTCAACTTGCAATTAACAGCCTATACAACACATTCTCCATGAAGCACGTAAGAATTAGTGCTAAACAGCATTTTAGCACCACATTTGGGGACTACTACAAACAGCTAGGTGACCAATTAAAAAACGCCAAAAAATGAAAAATCCATGAAATTAAACCAACAGCAAAAAGTCACTTGTTTATGGGATGAGAGTTGAGACAAGGCAAAGCAATACCTTGTTCAGCCCTCACCCTGAAATACTGCTTTGTGACTCAGTTTTTGGCATTTTGCACATAAACATAACTACAAAGGTACCACTAGTATTGGTTTAAAATTACAAATTTTACTGAGCAGGCATATTCAGAAATATGAGCACTGTAAATAATAAGAATCAACTATGTGTGTACATTTACATATGTTTGGATATGTTCTCTAAAACAGACCTTTTTATTTCCCTATGCCAGTCATTTACACAGAAATAAATTCTAAAAGGTAGGAGAGACCAGTATGTATGAGGTTTTCGGTATTAGTGATACACATGCATTTTACAAAGCAATAGGGAAATCTAATTGCTATCTATTTCCTTTGAAATGTACTACCATTTACGATTATTAAATATATGTATATCACAAATTTCTTACCTGCTGAAAATAGAAAGGAACTATGATGACTAGTTACCATTACAATAGTTAATATTTTAAAAGATTTTAAGATAAAATCTCAGTTAAAAGGAGAGCTAGACTCCCATTTTATAAGTATATTCAGTACATATAACGCTTTTTAAAAGATATGGTAAATATACACACTGGAATATTACTCAGCAATTAAAAAAAGATAAACTCATGCTTTTTATAGAAACATGGATGGAGCTGGAAGGGATCATGATTAGTGAAATAAGCCAGAAAGAAAAAGAAAAATACTAGATGGTTTCAGTTATAGCAGGAGCTTAATAAAAGACCAGGAAAAAAAAAATAATAATGAACAACTATATACCAGAGACATTTTACAGGGGTGGAGTAGGGAATAGGATCAAAAATACGGGTAGGGAAATGCACGAGACTATGGTGATGGCACACGGGTGTGATCTGTTGATGGGAAACCCATGGGTATTACAACTGAGATGGAAAATGGAATAAAATGATATAAAAATAAACTATATTATTATATATATATATGTTTTATTTAAATTCTGTAATTCAGGAACACTCATTGTATCCATGTATTTTAGCTGCACACCGAGACCTTTAATGTCAATATCTCACTTGAAATTTAAATACCTTTCTAGAAATTAAAATGCTTATTAAACATCTGTCATTCCTTTCCATAATCTCTATTATAAAGTCAATACATTTGGTTAAAACAGTAAGCACGATTCCTCTTATATTAGTTTCAAATTCCACATAAATTACTTGAGCTAAATTGCCATCAAAATAATTTTATTTTTTGGAACAAGACAATTTATTAATTGGAACAAGACAATTACTCAACACAAATTCTCCTAAAAACCAACAAAAATCCAATGGGACAATATCAACACAAATTTGGAAACTAGAAGGAATATGGATAAAGCTACTAAGCAGAAATATTGAAAGTCACTTAACACACAGCACCCTAAAGATAGCTCAAAATCCCCCAAGGGTTCAAAATTGCTAGCAATAGGAATTTCAAGTGGGAGGGATATTAAATTCTTAAACTAAGGAAAAATGTTATAAAATTTCAAACACAGGGTACTTTTTGATATGCCTTGATGTTAGCTATTCAAAATGTAAGCTATTCAAAAGACTGATTCTACAATTCCATCTTGAGTATAAAGGTGTGACAGCTAAATTTATAAGATTTTTTTTCCTTATCTCAAAATAGGCAAACCTCATTTTGCATCAACATAAAAAAAAAATGACCATGGAAGGCAACCCTAAAATGGGAAAAGTTATGAGTATTCCATAACTTTAAAACACTGAACACTATAGATGTATGTAAGGAAATGAAAAACAGTAAGATGACTAGTACTTATTTAGTACACTGCGGTCTACTTTAGAGATTTAATATACAATGAGATTAAAGCATTTCTTTGCAAAAATTTAGCAGTATTCTGAAGAGTGCCTACTTTCTCACCTTATATGAATTGAGTATTTTCAATGCCTTAATGAACTGTCATATTTCATTTTAAGTCTGATCAACCTCCAATATTGTGAAATAACTAGTTTTATTTAGCATTACTTCCTCTGGGATATCTTTATTCTTCTTACTACAACCATTTGCTTCATCTACGCTGATAAGATTGTCTTTATTATCTTCCTCTGGTTGCTTAGTGTCTCCAAATGCAGTCTGTCTACATTCACAAAGTTAGGGTTTCTGTTAACTCCATTTAAATAACATTCATTTCTAGCACTACAGTTCTCTGCTACAGTTTCATCTTTGTTGGCAAAATTACTTCTTTCTTAATGAAACCTCAGTGGGTATATCACTAAGAAACAATGGCAACAACACAGCTATGCACATTGCTCTCCATGCATGCACTGAGAAATAAACACACACCAGCCAACACACCAGCCAATCACCAAGAGTCTTTAAAACAGTGCCATAATATGCCATCTGCTACTTACATCTTGATTTGTATATGGATGAGCTAGGAGCAAATTTTGTAGCCTTATGCAATGAATATTAATATTCTAGGTTTAGTGAAATCTGAACCACGATGGGCAATTGTCAGTTAATTAAACCATGGTAACCAAAGTTCATTCATAATGACATGCATGCAAAACTAAGGACTGCCCAATTGCCTGTACCTTCTCTCCTCTTCACACTTTGATTTGAAATTCAACTTTTACTACACATCAATATTGTCATTCATACTTCCCTTGTAACGTGGTCATGTCTTCTCTGAACTTTACCTTACAAAATAAGGTAAATCCAATCTGAAAGTCTTAGAAGAATTCTATCTCTTCACATGATTAATTCTTTCGTATTTTTCTTATTCACCACCTTGTTTTTACACATACCTTTCTTGATGTTTATTCTGAATTTTGCTGAAAACAGACTTTAAGAATTCACCTCGTGGCCCTACCTGGTGGCAAAAGGGTTGAAGTCTCAGCACTATGAAGCTAGAACCAGCTACTGCAGCCCAGAGTTTGACGCCCCCATCCTTGGCCATCGCTGGCCGGCCAGGGAGCTAATGCATATGGCACAGCAGACCTCTCCTGTCTCACCTGCTGTTCCCCTCGGCAGTGTATTTCAGTGGATCTGCCTATTTTGCTCCCCACTCTGTCTCTGGTCAATCTTCTCACACACACACACCCCTGCATACCTCTGGGCTACACCCCAGTTTTTGTGTGCATAAATTAAAAAAAATCTTTAAAAAATTCATCCCTTGGCCCTCCCTGGTGGCGCAGTGGGTTAAAGCACAGCACTGAGAAGCTAAAGCCACTTCTGCATGAGTTCCATTCCCGCCTGCCCTGGAGGAGATCCACATGGCGCGGCAGACCTCTCCGGACCCGCCCGCTGCTCCCCTCAGCAGTGTACTTCTTCGATCTGCCTGTTCTGCTCCCTACTCTGTCTCTGGTGAATCCTCTCACCCCCACCCCCACATCTCTGGCCTGTACCTCAGTTCCACATGAAGAAATAAATATTTTTTAAAAAAAATTTCATCCCTTGTTCCTCTTCTATTTTGAAGGTTCTACTATTTACAGGTTTTACTTTCTATTATTTTACTATTCACTAATGTTCACATTAAGTCATATTTCTAGTATTTCCTCAAAAGATTAAACATAGAAATTTGACCCAGGAATTCCACTACTACAAAAAACAAGTTCACACAGAAATTTGTATGGCACACCTTACAGCTACTGAGGGCTTGGTTCCAGACCAACACCATAAACTGACTCAGAGGAATTTTTTGGTTTCCCTAAGTACAGACATCCAGTAAATGTTAACAGTATAACATCTAAAAAAGCAATTAACACACATTAATTAAATGTGACAAGACACGAAGAACATATACTGTTGGAAAAATGGTGCCGACGAACTTATCTGACACAGGGTAGCCAGAAACATTCAATTTGTAAAACAGTATCTACGATGCACAATAAAGGCACAATAAAATGAGATATGCCTATATACAAATTATTCATAGGAGCATTATTCCTAATAGCCAGCAGTAGAAACAGATAAAATATGGTAGCATTAAATAATGTAATATTTTGCAGTAAAAATAAATGAAGTACTATTGCATGCTACAACATAGACAAATCTTTCACTAAGTGAAAATAATGAAAGTCATTATAAACGTTGCAGAGTCCCATATATATGAAATGCCTT